TCTGCAGCCGTACCCGACTGACATCACCGGCCAGCTCAACCTATCGGATCCCTCCGTCAGCACTGTGGTCTGAGAGAGGACACACACACACACAAACCCACACACACACACACACAGAAAGTCAGACTGAGCATCCTCTGAGACAGGAAGTAGAGAACGATAGCATCAGGACTTTTGGATGGCATCGCACTGTGCCAACACAAACACACACACACACCATCTGTCATCCCAAAACACACACACAAACTCGCCTCTTCTCCGCTTGTAGCCGTCAGCCGTCCTCCAACCAGAGGATGTCTTTTATTTTGAAAGAACAGTTTTTCCAATGGCTTTTATTTTGGTAGAGTTAATGGATGTTGTACAGTTTCCTGTGCGTCACATCGATCCTCCCGATTCCTTTTTTTTTTTTTTGTAATTCCTGCCGGTACCTCGAGCACCTGAGCGTCCAGCGCCTCTCTCTCACCTGCCGATCGATCGGGGTCTCGCCTCGGTCAGTGGGTTATTGATCAACCCGGGAGCAACAGGTGGGCCACGCCTCTGGGACAGGAAGTAGTTTCTCTGACCTGCAGCATTGAACCAAACCCGAGGATTATGGGTAGCGTGGTCTTTAAACTGAGGGCCGTGAACAACTGATCACAATATGGATTGGAGTGGAATTTCAAAATAAAACGCAGGTGAATAGGATGAAATATGAACTAGATATCGCCCTGAAACGTCCCCTCTGCATTCCCAACATTAACTAAATCACTTTCTATTTCATAAGCTTTCTCCCGCTCGCCCCCCCCTTTTTAAAACCCCTGTTTAGCATTTAAATCATTATAAAAAAATAAATAGTTTATAACACACTCTTTCCGCAGATATCAGCGCATTTTTATTGTTAACTATATTTAAAAAAAATATTCTTCTTCACTTTAAAGACAAGTTATAATTGTTGTCAAATCCACTGATAATAAATGCTGTTAAGTCCTTTTATCTGTTGTGTTATAAACAATTTATTAAGTGTTATATTGCTTATTAATGCTAACGCTTACCACATTATAATTATCAATATTTAAGGAAAATATGTAAATATTTGTTTATTTAAATTTATATGAAATTCACAGAAGAACTTATTATTTAGGATTTAATGAGAAACACGTTTTTTACAAAAAATCAAACTGAAAACAAAAATATATAAAGTGCGAAATCAGTAACACTTCTTTATATATCCTTCATACTTCTTTTTACTTTTATTTTGAAATGTTGAACGTTTTATTTTGAAAGGAACATTTAATTTATTATTATTGTAGATGTTATTGTTTTATTTGTTATGATACCACTGCCACTGCTATTATGAGAATACTCCCTGAACCAGAAGCCTGGCCCACCGCCCCCTGACCACCCCAGGGCATGATGGGAAATGTAGTCATTGCTCCGCCTCCACTGACGTCCAGTGAAAACCTCCTGGCTCCTCTGGAGATAAGGGGGTTTTGAGAAGTGCAGCTGGCGTCTCTTTAAATAAAGTGTGTAGAGATATTAAAAAAGGTTGTGTGTGAAATAGAAGTACACCTGTTGATGAAGACACCTGAGCGTCACTGAGAACAAGAACCCTGTCACCATCTTTACTTCCTGTCTGTGAAAGCCTGCAGAGCTCTGAGCGTCCTGTCGATGCTCTCAGTGTTAGCATCAGGACGTCTGAAGTTAGGATGGGAAAAAGAAACGCTCAATACTTTCAAGAAATATCCCAAAAGCTTGTCATCAACTGAAGCTCAGCGAACGCTAATAAGCTAGCTGTTTGTTTTCCATTTCTGAAGGACAGTTTTGTTGTTGTACGAGAAACACTGATGCTAAGATAGCAGCTCACACTAATCAGCAAGCTAAAGTAAATCAGGAAATCCAGTTGTATTTGCTATGATTAAACCTCAGCTAATGCTACTCTACCAGCTAAAGCTATCTGTAGTCCTTCAGCTGGACTACAGGTTACAGGGTTTGCCAATGTAGCTCATGATGCTAGCTAGCTTGCAGTTACGTGTCCATGAGGGTTAAGCTAATGCCAATGTAGCTCATGATGCTAGCTAGCTTGCAGTTACCTGTCCATGAGGGTTAAGCGAATGCCAATGTAGCTCATGATGCTAACTAGCTTGCAGTAACGTGTCCATGAGGGTTAAGCGAATGCCAATGTAGCTCATGATGCTAACTAGCTTGCAGTAACGTGTCCATGAGGGTTAAGCGAATGCCAATGTAGCTCATGATGCTAACTAGCTTGCAGTTACCTGTCCATGAGGGTTAAGCTATCTCTTAAAATTACTTGTTTTAATGAAAGAATATATATTTATTATTTACTTACATGCATTATATTATTAACAGCATATATCATAATATTAAGAATAAATAACTGTGATATTTATTGTGGCACGGTTCACTTTTTATTTCCCGTTGACTTCACAATAAGAGCACCGACAGAAACTGTTAAGTAGAGCGTTTTCTTTGGAGTTTCATTAATAAATACTAAACAAAAACAGTGATGACAAAGTGAAACCAGTTGTTGTGAAAATGAAAAGATATTGAGGTTACTGAACTGAAGGAACCGTGTGTCCTGAAGTCTGCAAGAGGATCTCTGAGGAACTCACATGTAATGTGCTTCCAATCACACAGAGAATTATTATTATTTCATATATATATATATATATATATATATATATATATATAGGCTACAGTGTATAGTGTTTTATCTGTTCTCAGTGACGTTCAGCTCTACTGACGCTGAGTCATTACAGTATGAACAGAGGTGGAGGAAGTACTCAGATCTGGTACTTTAGCGACAGTAAAAGTAGTCATTGTGCAGATTGGTCCATTTCAGAATAATATATATGATATGTTTTATAATGATTGATCATGAAAGTGTTCTCAAAGCTGGTGAAGGTGCAGCTAGTCTGAATGGCTTTGTATACTGCAGGGTAGCTGGAGGATTTACTCCAGGTGGAACTCAAGTCTGATTTAACACTTGGTTATATTTCACATCATTCATCCACATCTGTGAAGTAACTAAAGGGATTAAATACATGTAGGGGAGTAAAAGTACACAGTAGCAGAACATGGAGATACTCAAGTAAAGTACAAGTACCTCTAAAGTGTACTTAAGTAATGTTGATGTACTGAGTTACTTCCCACCTCTGAGTATGAGAGACTGATATTATATATATTGATGAAACTAATTAAAGGGACCATCACTGTTTTATTTCAGAGTGAAATCAGTTTTTTAGGCTTCATTTTTTATCCTCAACTTTAATTTGACTGTTTATGTTTTGTAAGTATTCCCAGCAGGATGTAAACACTGTGTATTATAACTGAGACATGTGTATTTATATCAATTCTCTTCACGCTGCTGTCACCTGAGTTTGAACACAACGAGGAGTGAAACCATGTGCTTTTCAATTATACTTTTTTTTAAATACAAAGTGACTCAGAAGACAACTTGAATTAATATACATATAATTAAAATCGACGAGAGCAATAAGAAGACGCCTGAAGGCACCGTGCATTATTACGATGTAATATAACGAATATGTATTAACCTTTAAATAATAACACAGCAGCATTTAAAGGAGTTTTATCCATCGTCTTTGATAAATAAATATGTAGCATTAACTTATAAATACCAGATTAACCTTCTATAGTCATCCTTATCTTTAAATACTGTTCTGATTGTAAAATGATCCGTGTTCGTGCAGCTCACCCAGTGCTAATATTACGCGGTCATTTTATTTTGTTTTGAAATTATTTGTTTTGGATGTAAAGCACTGATTGAACTTCCTGTTTGAGGATTGCTTCCTGCTGTTGTACAGAAGAAGAAGAAGAAGAAGAAGAAGAAGATGTCGTCTCACTGCCGTTTGTAGTACATCTATAACCCTGTGGAAACTGATCTGAGGTCAGTGGCATTAAACAGATGCAGAAAAACAAGACGTGCTTCCTGTCCTCCTTTTTCCGTGTATATGAAATAAAACACAGCAGTGTGAGGATGAAACTTTGAAGATTAACAACCGCAAACCTACGACTGGTTCAAAACACACCGCTGCCGGGATATTAACCCGAACCTTTGATCACATCACGCCTGTCCTCATTGCATTAGCTACCGATTCACATAAGACTTCAATAGATATAGATATGTAGAATTGGGAGGGATGAAACCCTCTCTAATGTTCTCACATGCAGAGTCTAGTACCAGGAGTCTAGTACCAGGAGTCTAGCACCAAGAGTCTAGTACCAGGAGTCTAGTACCAGGAGTCTAGTACCAGGAGTCTAGTACCAGGAGTTTAGCACCAGGAGTCTAGAACCAAGAGTCTAGCACCAGGAGTATAGCACCAGGAGTCTAGCACCAGGAGTCTAGTACCAGGAGTATAGCACCAGGAGTCTAGCACCAAGAGTCTAGCACCAGGAGTCTAGCACCAAGAGTCTAGTACCAGGAGTCTAGCACCAAGAGTCTAGTACCAAGAGTCTAGCACCAGGAGTCTAGCACCAGGAGTCTAGCACCAGGAGTCTGGCACCAGGAGTCTAGCACCAAGAGTCTAGCACCAGGAGTCTAGCACCAAGAGTCTAGCACCAATAGTCTAGCACCAGGAGCCTAGCACCAGGAGCCTAGCACCAGGAGCCTAGCACCAGGAGTCTAGTACCAGGAGTCTAGCACCAGGAGTCTAGCACCAGGAGTCTAGTACCAAGAGTCTAGTACCAGGAGTATAGCACCAGGAGTCTAGCACCAGGAGTCTAGTACCAAGAGTCTAGTACCAAGCGTCTAGCACCAGGAGTCTAACACCAGGAGTCTAGCACCAAGAGTCTAGTACCAGGAGTATAGCACCAGGAGTCTAGCACCAGGAGTCTAGCACCAGGAGTCTAGCACCAAGAGTCTAGTACCAGGAGTCTAGCACCAAGAGTCTAGAACCAGGAGTCTAGCACCAGGAGCCTAGAACCAAGAGTCTAATACCGGGAGTCTAGTACCAGGAGTCTAGCACCAAGAGTCTAGCACCAGGAGTCTAGCACCATGAGTCTGGCAACCAGGAGTCTAGTACCAGGAGTCTAGCACCAGGAATATAGTTCTAGGAGTCTAGTACCAGGAGTCTAGAACCAAGAGTCTAGTACCAGGAGTCTAGTACCAAGAGTCTAGTACCAGGAGTCTAGTACCAAGAGTCTAGCACCAGGAGCCTAGAACCAAGAGCCTAGCACCAGGAGTCTGGCACCAGGAGTCTAGCACCAGGAGCCTAGAACCAAGAGCCTAGCACCAGGAGTCTGGCACCAGGAGTCTAGCACCAGGAGTCTATTACCAGGAGTCTAGTACCAGGAGTCTATTACCAGGAGTCTATTACCAAGAGTCTAGCACCAGGAGTCTATTACCAAGAGTCTAGCACCAGGAGTCTATTACCAAGAGTCTAGCACCAGGAGTCTAGCACCAGGAGACTAGAACCAAGTGCCTAGCACCAGGAGTCTAGCACCAGGAGCCTAGTACTACAACTTCCGTATCAGTCCGTGACGTCACTGGGCCCAGAAAGACTTTCCCCCATTGACTAACATGGGGAAAGAGACGTCTGTAAATCAGTGGATCATTTTTTTTTAAACTAAATGAACTACCCAGTCTGAACTCTGTTATAGCCCTTATTAGAATCATTAAGTCCTTAAAGTTGTAAAATGCACTAAAAACCGAATCTAGATTTAATTTCTGTCTCCATTCATTCTCGTGAGCCGAGAGTGGGAGCTCGGGGGGCGGGGCTTAAGGGGCACATGCTCTGTGCACATACAGGTACTTCTGCTCTGACAGCCAGGCATGCTGGGTAATCTGCGATGTTTCGCTTTCTCAAAAGTTGGGCCATTTTGTCCTCATGCGCCAATGAGCAGCTCTCATAGGAAAGAACGAGACCCCGCCTCCCACGCTGTATCCAGTTCTTATTACACATCCGTTCTTATTACACATCCATGGTCAAGCCTGGCTGTCAGAGCAGAAGAACCCGTATGTGCAGTCATAGCGCATGCGCCCCTTAAGCCCTAACCCAGCTATCATATTCAGTATGATAGCTGTCTAACAGAAGTTAAATCCATTTCTCACTTATTCTGACAATGTACTTAACCCCAAATAAAAGAACCCAATAAAAAGAGTTGTTAAACTAATAGTGAAGTCACGTTGTAATAACAATAACTCATCCCTCTCGAGTTTTCCTTTTGAGCTTTGCTAAAAGCCACTGTGTCAAGTGTCCTACTTGGGTTGCCGTACGGAGTTGTCCAATATGGCGGACCATCTCGCACATGCGCACTGCAGATCGGGCAGAGCTGCAGATCGGGTAGTGACAGTGACCATATACGGGCCGTTTCTCAATCGCAAGTAAACCTGCTGCAGAGCAACTATTTCAAGTATACCACATCATCGAGTGGCGCCAAGGACTGTTTGAATGCATGTTAAATGCAAGCCCCCAGGAAGTGCGCCGGAGTCTGATGAAAATATTCGTGCTGGCCAAACGGCGGTACTATCAATCAATCAATCAATGTTTATTTATATAGCCCAATATCACAAATGTTACATTTGTCTCAGTGGACTTTACAATTTGTACAAAATATCAGTATGACAATACGACACCCTCTGTCCTTAGACCCTCTGTCCTTAGACCCTCACATCGTACAAGGAAAAACTTCCGAAGAGAACCCACAGTTTTAAAGGGAAAATGGGAGAAACCTCAGGGAGAGCAACAGAGGAGGGATCCCTCTCCCAGGACGGACAGACGTGCAATAGATGCCGTGTGTAAATTGAAAAGATAATACATTTGCAACATAGGTAGTCCAAATGTTTGGAAATGCATGTGTGTATAATAGGAAGATGAATCCACGAGGATATCCATCCAGGACCTATGATCCAGGACCACAGCCACGACTCAAGATCCAGGGCTCGCGATCCAGGACAGAGGAGCGCAGGATCATCCATGACTCCGGATCCCGGCGTATATAGACACCAAAAAGAAAGACATTTGGGGAAGCTGGGTTAATCGGAACATGAGAGTACACAGGTATAGACAGAGAGAAGGAAGAAGTAAGATGTCCCCTGACAAACTAAGCCTATATCAGCAAAACTAGGGGCTGAATCTAATCAGCCCTAACTATAAGCTTTATCAAAAAGGAAGGTCTTAAGCGCACTCTTAAAAACGGATAGGGTGTCTGCCGCCCGAACACAAACTGGAAGCTGATTCCACAAATGTGGAGCTTGATAAGAAAAGGCTCTGGCTCCCATTGTACTTTTAGAGACTCTAGGAACAACCAACAACCCTGCATTCTTGGAACGCAATGCCCTAGTAGGACAGTAGGGTATAATGAGTTCTTTAAGGTAAGATGGCGCCTGCCCATTAAGGGCTTTGTAGGCGAGAAGAAGAATTTTAAATTATATCCTGTGTTCTATAGGGAGCCAGTGTAAGGCAGCCAGAACAGGAGTAATGTGGTCCCTTTTCCTAACTCTGGTTAGTACACGAGCTGCAGCATTTTGAATCAGCTGAA